TAGTTTAGTTTTGTAACAAAAAACCAGCTAGAGCCTTGCAGGCGGGCATAAGCGACTGCTTCAATACTCGTCAAGTGAGATGCAGAGTGAGATAAAGAGATAGACAAAGAGATAGATAGAGATAGAGAACAAAGTAGAGAGTTCAACTAAAAATAATATCAAATTTTGAGCAACTGTCGGCTATAACTGACTGTCTAATGCTCTTTTAGACACCAATTATTTCAGCTATTTAATTTGCAGTCTCAACTAACGCTTACTTTATCTAAAATTCATTAAACTATTTGCATTTTAGATAAAGAATCTCTAGATAAAGTCTACTCAAGCTGCAGCTGATAAAGCTTTCTAGTTATAGAAGCTATAGACAGTCGCCAGAGTTAGATGGAAGCGACTATTAGCCATTTGATTAGAGCTTTGGAGTAACTTAAAATTTTTTTCATTCATTCAAATTTGGACATTAACTAAGGCACTCTGGGAACTGAGACCTTTAAGCTCTGAGGACTTTATTAATTTTAATTATTATTAATTTATTATTATTAATTATTATTATTTATATAACATATATATTATATCTTATACTTTATATTTTTACTTACTACATACTTTTTATTATATACTATATACCTAAATATTTTAGCAAATTAAATCAAGCTATCCAAACATTTTGCTTATCTAACTCTTCAAGTCGCATCTACATGCCACGCCTCCAAAGAGCTTTAAGAAAAGTACTCTCTTTACAACACACTTTAACTCTCATTACCAAAAAAAAAACCAATCAACTCTCTTAACGCTGCCTGAACAGGCATATAGTAAAACTTTGCATGATCTGGCAACGCTCGCTCTGCTTAATCGATCAAAAATAGCACAAAGGGAAGAAAACTTTAGCATGTAATTAAAAGACAACACACACTCACTTACACACTCACTCACACACACTCTCACACACACACACACAGAATATAGCCAATCGAAAAATTGGCTAAAAACGTCTTAAAGCTAGCTCTTTAAAGCCAGCTGCCATTAGCACACAAATGATATGCGCAGGATATGCGGACCCCAAGTGGGCGTGGGCGTGGGCGTGGGCGTGTCTGTAAGTTGGCCCCGTGGGCATTTGTCAACAGTTGGGCAACGACATTGTTGGCAGCGGCAATTGTGACAGGCAAATAGAAACTTATCTGGACGGCATGCGTTTTAACGGACACCATTTTGGGGGGCCAAATCTTTTGGCAAGTTGGCCCACATAGGTCTAAGCCAACGCTGTCTCGCTGCAGATTCACATGAAAAATGTTCGCACATACCTTTTTCGCCGTTGGCTCAAAAGCTGCTGACTGTTAACACGCTCGCATTTGCTTGGCTGCGCCCGGCCCCAGCCAGCCAGTAAAGGCAGGACTCTGCTCTGGCCCACTGCTGTTCATCTGGCTTGTATTATGCTCCTTTGCATTGGTTTTGTTTGCCGTCTTGATAGCGCTGCGCATGTATATGTGCGAACAGCGCCCTCCAGCTGCCTTTATGTATGCGCAAAATTACACGAAACGAATGGCCAAAACTAACACAGAACGAATCTGGAATGCTCTTTTGTAGAGAGAACATATAGAATGCTTATAGTATTTAAACTAACATATTTGCTGCCTAAACAGTGGTGATCTTAATTGCTAAATTTGGCTGGGGTATTTTGAAAATTAAATAACTTTTTCATATAAGAACTAAATTTTGCACTGATTGCTTCTATTCATACAAGAACTAAATTTTGCACTGATTACTTCTATGGCAGCTATGTGATATAGTGGTCTCATATGGTTTATTTTTGTTTAAACCATAAGTATTTAATTGAATTTAATAATAAACCAAGTAAAGTACAGATTTGTGGGTAAAGCAAAAAGTTGTTCATACAAGAACTAAAATTATTATTAATAAGTCCCAGGTAAGCTAAATGACTTGGTAGTCTGATATGGATAAGCTTGTATTAAACGCTTATATAACTCAAGTTACAAACTATAAGCTAGGTGAGGCTGAATATATGTTAAATAAAAAAGTTTTTCATACAAGAACTAAAATTTCAAGGCCTCTTTATTATGACAGCTATGTGATATAGTAGTCTGATAATGATAAGATATGAGTAAATTCTTAAATATATAGAGTAACTAATTACTGCGCAGTTAAGAACTGATATGTTTGTAAACTGAAAAGTTTTTCATACAAGAACTAAAAATTTTAGTCCTTAGCCCTGAATCGATCTGAATGCTTTCAACATGTGTACTTTCTGATATAGTAATACATAGAATATAGCTGTCAAAGAGAGAAACTGATAGGATACGAGATATAGCAACAGGTACAACTGCCTATAACGAATTCATTGTCGATTCAGCTTGAGTAAACATATATATAGAGGTATAGACATACCTCATACCTCTACTTTTGCTCATGTTACATTCCTTATGTTAAATTTATAATGCTTCACATGCAAAGCAGCTCTCACTCTGTACTTGAGTCCAGGCACCCGCATCTGCACCTGTCTTTCATTTTATCTAGCTGTGTTCGTGTGAGCTACTGCTGCTTGCTGTTCTCGCTGTAGCAGTGTTTACTGTACAAGCAAACTAACTGCCGCTGGGCCAAGTGTAGCATACTTTTTACAGCCAAAATGATGATGCTCTGCTCGTACCAAGCTGCCCTTTTCCCACTTCTGCTTCTACTTCTCCTTCTACTTGTTTCGAAAAATTTAAAATGCAATTTAATATAGATTTAAGCACGAGCTCGGGCGTCTCTAATGTGCTTAATTGTTGGCTGGCTCATACATAATGATAAGCTGCTGGCCCCACGCTTAATTAACATGACTAATGCAATAAGCTGAGTCACGACTAAAAATAGCCAGAAAACAGAACAACAAAAAAACGGCTAAACTAACCGCTAAATAATGAGCTAGTGGCTAATCAGCGAACGTGTTCGGGCTACGCCTATGGCCTATGGCAACAAACGCCCACACACACGAGGCTTAAGCTGAAACTAATTTAGAGAACACAGGGCACACACACACACACACACACACACACACACACACAGGCACACACTTGTCTAGCTGATAAAGCTGAAGAGAAATTGTGCCAGTCATAACTCAAAGGATGTTTGTTGGGACGCGCTATTTGCGTCGCAGCGCGTGTCTGCATTATGGGCCATCATTCAGAGGCGTCAACACGCAGACTGAGTCAGATGGGGGCAGAGTGTGAAATCTCCTGTGAGCGTAATCATAAAAATGCTGGGATACCTAATCCTTTCACACACACACACACACGCAAGAAAAACGCATTTAACCATGAAAGGACGACGACGAGGACAACTTTTTTTTTCGTTAACGCTGTTTGCTGAATACGTAAAAAGGATTTTGTGCACCTTTCAAAATATCCTCTCTTTTTTCACTATTTCCATGATGATTGAATGAATGCCAAGGCCCATGCAAAAGTTTTGCTTGGGTCAGCGTACTAATCAGCCAGTGTCCTGGCCATGTCCTTGCCTCACTTGTTTTGATTATAAATTGAAAACTTTGGCCTGGCCACATTCTTCTTCTTTCTTTCATTTTTTTTTTTTTGCTGCTTTCAAAATCAAAGTGTTTGGCTAGGAATTTCGTAATTCTCGTCGCATTTTTTTTTGTTGCTGTTGGTGTTTCCTGGCATTTCCATATGTCGCAAACCCGGTTACAGGCGGTCAAGCGCATAAGGTCGTTCGTTCAAGTGGAAATGGAAATGGCAATGGTCGTTGGCAGCACACACACAGGCCATAAAGGATATGCTTGTTAGTAACCAAATTTTTTGTGACAATGACAAGCGAACAAAAAGCATGAACACAACTTTTGCTGACACTTTCAAGCACTTTTCATCGAAGGTGTCATGTCACATGGGCCTAATCGATATTTATTAGTGCAAATGAAACTTCCGATTTTGCGGAATTCATATTCGCAAATATTTTGTGTTAAACAAGCCATGGCCTCTGCTCAAGTGAGCCGAAAGGCATATGCAAATCAAATTAATAAGCAAATTTTTAGTTCAATGAAACTCAACAATGATTGAACATAAAATTCCATTCGAAAGACTAGAGCAAAAATTAAAATATTTGCACTAAATTAGACTTAATTCAAGAAATTCCCAAGCTGTAATTGGCTTGATGAGCTGCATTAAGCTGGCTGCTATGGCACTCGCTTGCTGCACTCGAAAGCTCATTGATATAACTGAAATTTAGTGGGAAAGTCATATAAAACCTTAGCCCTACTATATGCTCTAAAACATTTTACAACACTGGCAACAACTTAATTAAAAATAAGTTTAGATTTTACTCAAGCTTAAATTTAAATTTAATTTAATTTCAATTTAAATTCTTAAATGTTTTAATTGCTTTGACAGCAGAAGCTGTCTGCAGTTTGTGTAAAATATTCCTTTTACAACACTGACAAATATAATTGCATATATGTCACATTTAGAAATTTGGTTTTAAGCTCTATTACTCCAAAAATTACAAATATTCTATGTTGCACAAGCTTTTCGTTCACTGTGACAATGGATCGTTATACAACACTGTTATATATGAAACTGCTCAATATGAATATTATATTGATATTGAAATATATAAACATATATGAATCACCTGTAATATATTTTTGATATGAATAATTAAAACTTTTATACGACTTTTGCGTACTTTCCAACACTGTTAAAGACTTTTTGTATTTTCGTAAATTTTCTTAATATTTGTTAATAGCTTCAGCTTTTGGCTTTATCGTTAGACTTTTTAATCATTTCAGGAATTAACAAAAACACATTTTACAACACTGTTTTAGCTAGAATATGCAGCATTTAGCCATTAGCTTATTTTTTTAACAAAAAATATAGTAATAAATACTACGAGGTTCTGATAATCTCTTTAAAACTGCTAAGCTATCTCAACACTGCTGTTAAAAATTAGTGCTATACAACACTGATTACCTTTTACCCAATATACAACCCATTGAAATCCAAGTCTTTCTCACATAAAGCATTGACATTAGCTAAAATTTGTAATTAAACTCTCAACACTGCCCGTGAGCTTTTCCAACACTGTTCGATAAGAGTAAATTCCAGTTGCGGCCAACTTCACGCAGCTTTTTGCACAACTTTTGACACTCGAATCCAGTTGGGGCAAAGAAAGAAATAGAATTAATATCAATCATGTCGATCTCAAACTATAGATTACAGACCAAAGTGCGCCTGCAGCCTCTGGTGCTATTCCAAATTATCGCGGCCTACGAGCGGCGCCCGAAGACGGCCAAAATGGCTGTGGGCACACTGCTGGGACGTCGCGACAGGTGCAACGACATCATCGAGATCACCAACAGCTACACAGTGCAGCACAAGGAGCAGCAGATTGGCGAGATGGAACAGTTCAAGCTGGACACGCAGTACGCGAGCGAAATGTTCGAACTGAATCAGATCACCTATCCACAGGAGAAGATCATCGGATGGTACAGCACCGGGAAGTCGCTCTCGCGCTCGGCTGCTGCGCTGCACGCTTACTATGCGAGGGAATGCCGCGACATGCAGCCGCTGCATTTGCTCGTGGACACAACTCTGAGAGGTGGACACATGACCACGCGCCTCTATTGTGGCGTCACGATGGGCGTGCCGGGCGGCACTAGGGGCCTGCTCTTCACACTGCTGCCGCTGCTCAAAATAAACACAGATGGCGATGAGTCGGTGGCTTTGCGGCTCATGCAGAAGCAGGCGCTGCATCCGACCAAGCAGCTGGGTCGCATGCTGCCGGAGCTGGTGCACGTAATGGAGGCGACTCGAGAGCTGGAACAGAAATTGGATCTAGTGATGCGCTACATCAATGATGTCTTGGCGCGCAAACGTCGACCGGACAACAGCATTGGACGTGCTCTGCACGATGCTCTGACATCTGTTCCGCTGCTGGATGCGGACAGCTTTCGCGTCATGTTCAATGCCAATGTGCGCAACATGCTGATGAGCATTACGCTGTCCAGCATGATCAAGACCCAAATGGAGCTGAGCGAGAAGCTGTCCTATTTGCCAGATCATTGATTGTTGTACTTTGTTTTATGAATTTATTAAATGAGTAATTATTATTGGGCAGTTTCTTGAACTCCAATTGAGAGAAATGAAAACAAGTCGTGTTGCACCTAACAGCTTTGGTCTGTATTCTGACGTGGCTTATGTCTTACTCTAACTTGAAATTCGGGTTTTCCTTTTAGCTGAGTCCTTGGACACTCTTGCTCATATTAGTTTTGTCAACACTGTGAAATATCCTGCTCATTTCTGCTTTGTGTTACTTTTAAAGATATTTCGCATTATATAGAAATATGCCGAAAAAATATGAGCAAAACTAAAAAGGGAGTTTTTTATATTATATTAATATAATATATATAGTTATATATATACATATATTTTTTTTTATTTTTTAATTTCTGCAATTTAATTTTATTTTTTATGCTTTTTTTTATAAATATTTTTCAAATTTTTTATTTTTTTTAGTTTTCTCAGCAATACAATTTTTTTCTTCGACACTTACGGAATTAATTTAAATATGAAAATTTCATACGCATTCGATTTTTTAAAATTTTTTTTTATTAATTTTTTAATATTTTAACTTATTTTTTACTTACTTAATTAAAATATGTAAATTTCATACGCATTCGATTTAAAAATTTTTTTTATTAATTTTTTTAAATTTTAACTTATTTTTTACTCAGTAAAAAAGTTTTTTCTTCTGTAATTCGTTGCATAGTTAAAAAATATTGCGAATTTCTTAGATATTCGAATTTTGATATTTTTGAATATTTAAAAAAACATTTAACTTGTATATTATTATTTTATAACTGATTTTTTAACTTATTTAACATTAAAATTCTTCAATATTTAACTCTTACATATTTATAAATTTTTTTTAATTGTATATATATTTTTCAACTTGAAACTTATGTATAAAAGCAAATATTTTTCAACCGGACTCTATATGCCTAAGAAATAAGCCAAGCTCATGCAAACCATACACTCTTATACACACTTATAAACTCTTATACAAAGCCTACTCAGCACAAAAAAGAGAAGAGCCTTCGACCCAAATAAATGTTAATAACAGCAGATATAATACATTTTATAAGCAGACATTTTATCTGTGCATTGTCGCTGTCAGCGCTGCTATTGTTGTTGCCGTTCAGCTTCGGCTCAATATTTTTTTGCAGTCGTATAATAAATATATATTACAGAAGTGATAATGGCAGCGATTGCATAATGGATTAAGTGCCAGGACTCAACTGGCTGGGCCATGCCAAAGGCAGTCGCCGTTGACGTTTTGCTGTTTGTCGTTATATTTAAGCCATTATCAATGTCGAATGTGGCGCGCATCCGCGAATGCCGCATGCCGCATGCCACATGCCACGTCTCTGGGGTCTTTGCATTTCTGACTCTGTTTGCATTTCAACTTAATTTGAAGCGATTTATTAATTTTTTCCAATACCCAATGAAAAGGTGCCAAATAGGGCATATTAATTTGGTTTGAGTGTGTGTAATGGGTGGAAGTAGGCGTGGCAGTTAGATGACGAGATGAGTTTGTTTGTCTCTCTCCCTCTCTTTCTTTCTCTATATATATATATTTCTATATATAAGTCTCTATACATGCATAGAAGGAAACCATTTTGCGATAACTCTTTTCATGATCGATAAAAATCGATATGTTTATTTAGCTTTTACTTTCGGTAAGATCTTAAAAACTCAAAATTTTTGTAATAGTTAAGGCAAAAACTAATTTTATTAAGGCAAACTAAATTGATTCTAAAGTTTTTCACTTATTCTTTACTTGATCTAAATAAAAATGTAGCTTTCAATAGGCAACACTTTCAATTTTGTCTGAGCACTCTCTCACACACTAAGTTTACCTAATAGCATATCTAAGCCGAATTTATCAATAACTTGATACAGTCTACACTTGATTCAAATGGACAAATGCATAGGCTTCGCTCGCATACAAAGTGTAGGTATTTTCTAGTCAGTCACTCCCATTCAGAGCAGACTTACTTGCTTTTAAAGCAGCGAAAATGATTGTAGCAGCTGCTGCTGCTGTTGCAATTAATTAAAGCAGCGATAATATTGAATGCAGTAATATGTGCCAAATCAAAAGGCAAAAACTAACGGCTCCAGGGCTGGGCTGGGCTGGGCTGTTGGGGGCTGGAGGGCAAATGCAAATGAGCAGCGCACGCGCCATTTTGACAAATGAGGGCAATCAAAAAGTTGCATGCGCCCAGCTTAATGCGTTGCACGAGATCACGTATACGCCACGGTCGCGCTGCTGCTGCTGCTGCTGCCAAGACATTGCAACTTTTTGCGCTAATTAATGTCAAAAGATGTTATATAAATGTATATAAATGTATATATATATAGTGGAATGATTCTGCCACGTGTTTTAATACCCTGCACGCGTTGGCCTCATAACTTTTGGACAGTTTGCCGCCCCTTTCGACGTAGCTGGGCGGCAAACGTGTTTGGATTTTCAGCGCCAAATCAATGGGCGACACACACACAGAGAGAAAAGTGTGTTGCAGCGCAACGAGCTCGATTCAAGCAGGATTTATGCTTTGGCCACCGTTTAGGTGTCAGCTGCAGGCCAAGCCAGCGCTAAAATTACGATTGTGACCGCAGCCAAACGAGCAGCATCTGAGTGAAGCACAAAGTATCGGTGTCAGTGCCAACTTGCTTGCTTGGACTCAGCCAACTCAGCATTTGGCAGAAATGCCCACAACATACATACGCACACATCTGTCTGTCTATATATATATATATATATATATATGCCACAGAAAAAAAGTATAAAGGCAGATAACAAGTTGAAAAAGTGATAGATATTATAATAGACATGCTTCACGTACGCCGGCTTCAAAGCCAAAAAAAACATATAGATGCATACATATCTATATAAACATATATATGTATATATAGCAACAAAACAAATATAAATATGAATGAGCAAGAAAAAGCAGGCAATGAAAATACGAAGTCCAAATGCGCTTGCAGCTCTATATAGAAAAAATACCAGAAAAGCTTAGCAAGCAAAAACTTTTGTTTAAATTGAATCGTTATATATGACTATATGGCATAGTAATGTTAAATTACTTTTGTAAATCTTCACTTCACTAAAATATGAATTTTACTTCAGATATCTTAAGATACAATTAAATTTGTTATACATGAACTAAAATTTTAGCCTATAGCTTCTATAGCATCTATATATAATATTAGTCCTATACAGACAATACTTTACATAAGCATAAAAGGCATCATTAAACTTGCACAAAACAAGTTTGCTTTAGATCTATTGATAAACCATAAACTTGCTCATACAAGAACTAATTTTAGACGGCTCATTGCTATGACAGCTATATATTATAAGTAGCCAATCTTTACAAAATTAAGTAGTTTTTCTAAGAACTTACTCAAATGGTTAAATAAAAATTTCGTCCAAGATAACTTAAAGATCAAAAAAGTTTTTCATACATGAACTAAAAGCTTGACTCATCTAGTCCATCACAGCTTTATGATTTAGTAAGCCAAATGCTTCAAAATTTTATTTTTGCACTAAAAACTAAATAAAGACATATAAATACTAAATTCTCATGAACAATTGTTAATAGTAAAAACTTTTTCATACAAGAACAAAATATTTGAGTTAAAATAGCTACGACAACTATATGACATAGTAGTCCAATAATCCAAAAAATTGCACTTATAGCTAAAAATTAAGGCAAAACTCACTAAGGCCAAGTTTTATCAAGATAACCAAATAAACAAAAAAGTTTCTCATACAAGAACTAAATTCTAAGGCTATTCTGCCTATGGCTATATGATAGAGTCAAACAAAATATTTGAGTGCAATTTATGCTCATATTAGCACTAAAACGAGCTGGCCTAGCAAGTTTCAGCAAGCTAGGACCCAAGCGAGCTCAGTTCATACGGAATATTCCCATTCAAAGTCGAAATAACTAGCCTAACAGCACTGAGAACGCACAGCTGTCACACAAAGCATGAGCAAATTATAATACCCTTATTGGCAAGCGCATAAATATGATGTGCAAAAAAGGTACACACACACAATCGTTGGGTGTGTGTGTGTGGGAATAATAGACAGCGCATTGTGGGCGTGTAAACGGGAAACGAGCTTAAAAGTTGCAAAAGCAAAATAAAGATTGGCATAGATATGCACGTGATTGGAATGTAAGTTGGAAATTAAGTGGCTCCTGCGGCGCCAGGGAAGCCAAAAACAAGAAGAAGAAGTAGACGAAGACGAAGACGAAGAAAATCTTTTTGCAAAAACAATATATGTCATATACACAACACACGCTCTTGACTCGGCTGGAAGCAGACAAGCCAGAAATGGCCAACGAATTGAGTGGCACTGGCAAAACGGAAAATGAAATGCACATTAGCAAGAGGCAAGAGGCGGGCGGTGGGCGGTGGGCGCTCTGTACTCACAGGACGGTTAGGCGTGGCAGCAAATGCCGGCGGCATAAGCGTAGGAAGGAAATTGTTACGTAGGCCAAAAACGCAGCAGGAACAGCCAACAAGAAGAACAGCAAGTTGCTCCCGAAGAAAAGCGCACAAATCGAAATAAATAAATAAAATCAAATGTTCTGTGGAAAAACTTTGGCTTCAGCCAAAGCTAAGTTAGGTGAAAAATCTACACCTCCTGCCTGGCTGCCGCCATCGCTGCCGCCCGAAGTCGCACAAAGCGCTGAAATTACATCTTATGAGCGTCTGGAGGTTACGCTTTAGGGAGCAGCGACTGAACGCCCAGCTTTAGCCACCCAGCCAGTCAGCCAGCTAGCCAGCTTGGCGTATACGTAACGGCAGCGTAACGGAAACGGAAACAAAGCGATAAACTTTTGTTAGTGTAGCGAACGCCAATCCACACTCGAGGCCCACGAGAGCGTAAAAGTGCGAAAGTGCGCGCACCACTGCGACCCACGTAGCAGCAGGCAGCAGGCAGTTACTGTAGCAGCAGCAAGCTCGTCTAGAAGCCATTGCTTTTCAAGTTCTGTGTTGCCTTTGGTTTCGCCTTTTAAGACACAAGCAAAAAAACAGCTCCT